ATAAAGGCTTTCAAATGGCCATGGGGTGTTCATGTTAAGTGTTTGCTCCTTTACTGCAACTATATTGGAAGTACTATGCACATAAAATTTCAATATGAGCACTTTGATAGCATTAGCGCCATGCTTCAATACAGCTTTGCAGTCAGAGCCTCACCTGGCCACAGATTTGCGATCACTTGCCTCAGCTCTGCCGCCCGAGCTCAGCCATGCCTCGCCGCAGCAGCTTGGTCACGCCTTGCCACATCTCTAGCACGCCTTGCTGCCACATCTCACTACAGTTCTGCTGTAGCTCTGCCGTGCCATGCCACAGTTGTGCTGCATGAGCTCTGGCATACCTTGATGCAGCCATGCCACCTGGGCTCTGCCTCTTGATCTTTGCCACAGCTCTAACTCGCTATGCCACAGTTCTCCTGCAGCTCTGCTGCACAAGAGCTGGCACAATCTTTCCTATCTGGGCTACGGTGTGCAAAAATCCCATTCTTATTGAAAAGGGAGCGCAGTGTATTTTAAATGACTCCACAGAGGCCTGTGTCCCATCACCAAGTCACCCTTTATTTACACGTGGAAAGTCTTTGGACACTCATTCAGCTTCCTCAGAGCCAGCTCTCAGGGTGAACAGAACCTCTGACCCTCCTGTTTATATCTGTCAGCCAGGGCTCTGATTGGACAGGGTTAACAGCTCCAATCAGGGAACTCATTCTGAAAGGTCAAGCTAGCTGACCTGGTTACAAATCAGTATAATACTACTGGAACAAAATGATTTACGATAGGTTAGAAGGATGCGGTTGGCACATGAGATTAGGATCAGTGTTCCTGTGGAAGATAAACGCCACTGGTTAGTTGGGCTCTTTGACTGCATTACATAACTTTGCAATGCACAATTTCTATTTTAAATTCACCTGACTTTGCAACATCAGGCAAAGTCATCTCAGCCTGCTCATGGGAACAGACTGCATGAAAAAGGTAATGAACTCAGTGCTGTCATTAAAGTGTAGTGAGATTAAGTGTATAGTGCTTTTGTATAAGATATTTCTTTCTGCAGTAGATTCTTCCCATCATACACAATTTCATCAGCACTAAGTCAACTATTTTTAATACTAATATCTACTATATACCTTTAACATTTTTTGGACTTTTTTGTATTTACCTTTCTGGAATGCTATTTTGTTTGATGCCTTCACATGTCATGCACTGCTCTTACAGTAAGAGTTATACCTGGCCTTGCTATGCTTCAAGTTGAACATTTTTTTTAAAAAATTTCACTGGCAAGAGTTGCTGATTGGCAAGCATTTATTGCTTGCCAGTAGTTGCACCTGGGAGAAGGCAGTGATGAGCTGTCTTCATGAACCGCTGCAGTCTGAATACCGTAGGTTATCATATAATAGAGTTATGGCAGGTTTTACTCCCTCTGATCTCTCCTGGCCAACTTTCCAGGTAAGTCAGAAGCAGTACCCTCTGAAATATCTGACTTTAGAGAGTTGGGTGCAGTCCAGAGGCGCAATTCTGGTCTATGCTTCAGCAACTACAGTCTTCCTAATGGAAAAATCTAGGCCTAATACCTTAAATCAAACAGCCAAAAGGCTGGGCCACAAACTTTTTACAGCATTCATTCCATTAACAACAAAAAAAAACCAAGAGGTGTTGTGCAGTCATTCAACACGCATGTTGCTGAATTTGTCAGCCAGCCTCCAGAAAACATCAGAATCCTGTTAAAGAGATGTGTAAGAATGCAAACATAGGACAATTTATAGTAATAAAACTAGAGAGGCTATTGATTATTACTTCATTTGAAGAGGGATCCTTCAACCAAAAACATTTGAGAACCACTCATAGGAGCTATAGACTAATCAAGAACATCCCCAACTTAGCCGAAACATACAAATGACCGAGGCCATTCAGTTCATCTTTCCACAGAAAACCTATGACTTTGCCAACTGTACACGACTGCCTCCTCAGTTTTTGCCAGTGTTCTTCTCTCGACATCATACCAGGTATTGAAAATTCTGTGGAAGCACATGTCCTGATAATCAGTCATGAAATTGGCTTGTAACAGGTTGCACTTGCAGTTGCCCTGCAACTGAGTTCCAACTACAGGCCCATTTTATTTGTCCCTTTCGAAGAATGGAAGGTCCAAGTTTTCCCAATATACCCAGATAACTCAGTCCTCAGACACTGGTCAACTAAAATTCAGCTTAATCTAACACCTGCCCCCATAAACACTGTTCCCATGCCCCCCCACCCCCAATCCCATTCAAAACAAACACTACACTTCGTGGCCTAATGCCAACAAGGGCAATATAGTTCTTATTCTGTGTCATTGTGACAGTGTAACCATGTCTCATTTCCACAAACACCATCAACTGGGGAAACTAACTTGCAGAACAGATGGGGTTGCCAAATCAGAAGTTGTACCCAATCTCTAACTGAGAGCATGTGGACAGAATGGCTGGCTCAATGAAAAATCAGAAGGTGGGGGGGGGGGGGGGGCGGGGGGGGAAGAGAAACCTAATCGAAAGGTTTTGAAAAAAAAAAAAGGTCAATCCACTTGAAAGAAAACAAGCAGACATGGTTTCCTGAAGAAAGACAAGCAGCCATCATCACCTCCACAGAAGCTCTCCCACAACTGGGAAACTCAAAATTCTAGGAATGGTAATGTACTTTGTTGGTGCAAAAATACCCAGGTGGATCAAGAGGGCCATGAAAAGGCTTAACATCTATACCAACCAAAGATGCCCCAAACCTTTTCCATAAGGACCTGCATAGAGAACATAATGATAATGGGGGTAAGAACAGAATTAGTACCCTAACCCTGCTAGGAGAAAGATTCCCTGATGCAAGTCACCAAGGAGGCCATGTCACAGAATCCAACACTTAAGAATAGTCCAATGCCATATTTTGACTGCATAAATGAACAAATTTAAAACAACTTCAGTTTTGAACCCTGATAACAGGCACCCAAATCTAATGAACAGGATGTTATTTTACTGTGGTTTTTAAGTTTAATATTCTCCTTGAAATAACTAAAACTGATCTGAATTTGACCTTTGCCCATGACAGCAGTTAGTTAATTCTGAAATAAGTCAAAACCTTTGATTGAATCTTGTAAGTGTATGGCATGTTTTGTACTCAGAACAGGTAATGTCACATTGGTGTACTAATAGGTTGAAGTACAAAGGGTACTTCCTGAAAACAAGCTCAGCTGCCAGGAACCTAAAGGTTTACTGTCTGGTATAACTGACCACAGACATGTCACCTGTGTTTCTGGCAAGTTGGGGTGGAGGAAGGGAGACAGAGCAAGAGTGAGAATTAGGTCTGAGCCACAGAATATACACGCTGGGTTGCAAACTCTGTTCATTGTGGGGTTTATTGAAGAGGATGGAGCGCTGATGCAATTAGATTTGGGAAGCAGTTGGTGAGATTGTATCCCAGGTTCTCAGAAAATATGTGGATTGCTAGGACTGCAACAAGGAGGGACTGGGATATGGGTGTACTTATAAAAAAGGTGAGGTACAAAGTATAGAAGTGAGGGGAAGGAGGCGAGAGGAAAAAAAGATAAAAAACACAACTAGGAGAAACAGCATGGTTATTCTTCAGGAATATGGAGGTAAAGAGTACTTAAGTATGGAGACTGGGACAGCTCAAGAGAGGGGTCTGTGAGAACTAAGGCATGAAGTTCTATATATAATCACACACAAAGTTGCACTTATTGACGTTCATCATGTTCTACAGGTTTAACTGAGTTGTGCTAATTACAAAACCATTACTATCGTTTCCACAGACTAATGCCCCTCAAATGTCATTTTACTCAGTGGCAAGGCACCCCTCTTCGCCTCCAACATCATTTTTTTTTTTTTGAGTAAAGTAAAGTTTCCAAAAAGAGACAGACTGCACGAGAGAAAAACAACAACATTGCAATAGTTTTACTGGACCACAGCCTGGTCTCATTACAGAGAGATGACTGGTGGTGGTTTAACCAGAGGGTCACCATGCCTCAGGCGAGGGGAAGAGGTTGAGAAGGAGAGTCCTTCATGGTAACCCTCGGCTGGTGGGGGAACTGAACCCATGCGGTTACTGGCACTCTGCATCATAAACCAGCTGTCTGAGCTGACCAACTCCCATTCACTGCACTATTGCTGAATGACAAATACCTTTTATGTTGTGATGCTTTTAAAGGCCACTGCAGAGTGCTTCATTCATCTAAGAGTTGATGCAAACTAGCTGACTCACCTCGGCATAAGATGAAGGAGCTTCGGTGTAAGGTGGTGCCTGAGGAGCTTGAGCAGTGGGCCATTGTTTTGGCGGAGCCATGGTCGGCTGCTGTGTCGGATAACTTTGTTGCTGAGGATATGCCCCTAAAATGGTAAAATGATGAGGGAAGATTTACACACAAGATAGTCAGTTCAGAGCACCATGATTTTAGATTTAAATTGTAATATCAATGTCTATTCAATTGACATGTTGTTGGCATGGGGGAAGAGCCTACATCTGGGGAATTAGGCTGTATATAGTAGAACACCTATGGCAGAATCTTATGTATTTTTGCACCTTGGACTTAGCCAGAGTATTTGAGCAATTTTTTGCCGCAGGGCTTAGTAAGATTTTGTCGTCCCTTATCAAATTAACTTTATTAACTACTTATCCTGCCATTACAGCATTCCTCTCATCCAATTCCATTCCCATCTTACCATGTGCCCAGGCAAGTGTTGGCAATCCAGAGTTGCATCTAGTCTGTTATGTGATGGCACAGCAGCCGTAAAACCATGAGATAACAAGGTGTAGAGCCGGATGAACACAGCAGGCCAAGCAGCATCAGGAGCAGGAAGGCTGACGTTTCGGGCCTCGACCCTTCTTCAGCAGCCGTAAAACCATACTGCTCAAGGCACAGACCCACAAAAATCAGAAGCTGGAGGTCATCCCCACAATACAAACCAAATGCCGGTATCATGACCGAGGGCTATTTTACATTCCACAATGGTCTGCTGCACCCAGTGGTCATCTGCTGGAACAAGGATGACAAAGCCCTTCCTCGTTTGTAATACGCAATGCTGCCAAGCTCTGACATGCAGAAGGAGAGCTTCTTTCTCCCCAGTATCCTTATGTTCCTCCCTCGGAAAGCTGCTCCCATTCTCCCGGTTCCTCAGCATCTGTCACATCACCTCGCTGCCTGCTCCAATTGTGCACAGCACATGAGGCCAGGATGATACTGCCCAGACTACACTGGAGGGCCCTCCCCAAGCTCCTCTAGAGACTGGTGCAAACAGCAGAATCATATCTTCAGCAACCCCATGCTCTGCTCCATCCTGGTCGGAGCATGGGCAACATTAAACCTGTGCTTTGCATCAGTCAGGGGGACTGCTCCAGGATGTACAAGTCAGGGCAGCTGCAAGGGTAGCAGGCACATAGGTAATAAAGGAGGTAACACTGATCATAGATCACCTGGACATTAATGGAATGGAACCCCTTCCTGTTGATGAATTCCAATGTTGTGATACAGCCCTCAGTGCCCTGCGTGTGCAGTCAATGGCACCCTGCACCTGATAAAGCCCAGGCTGCAGCACTGACTTTGTCATGGAGAAATGACATGACCTGATGTGCTCTTGCATAAATGGCATTGATCATTGCCCTAATGCTGTTGTCAGTGCACAGTAGATGCACCAACTGTTACGCCCTGTCGCACAGATGTTCAAAGTGGTTAAATACAAGAAGTAAAACAAGGATCCAGCCTTTCTGCTCAACATCGATTTTGTAACGTAGAAATTGATGGTAACAGTAACGTCACTGGATTAGTTAAATCAGAGGTCCAGTCTAATGCTCTGGGAATACCACTTCAAATCCCAGAAAGGTACCCAGTGAAACAGAGGCTCAATTGAATCGTCTGGAATTTGAAAGCTAGTCTTAGTTTCATGGTGAACAATATTATCAATTTTCATGATAACCCATCTGGTTCATTAATTGCCTTCAGGAAAGCAAATCTGCTCTCCCTTTACCTAGTCTGGCCCATAAGTGACTCCAGACCCAGAACAATACAGTATAGTAGTCTTTTAACTGCCTGGTCAAGTGGCCTAGCAAAAATCAGTCAAAGGGCATTTAGGGCTGGTCAATAAATGCTGGTCTTGCCAGTTACACCCACATCAAGAATTTTTAAAACGTATTGGCATTAGAAAATACCAAGTCTATGATAATAACAAGATTGTTACATCATCACACATTACTATGATATCAATCAAGAGATCAGAAACAGCATGTACTAGGAGAGAGATGTACTTATCTTACAGTACAATGTATTTTGTGTAAATAAAAACAGTTTTGCAGAAACCTACCAGAGTCAGACTATAGTCGCTGATAGGTAAAGTAACCTACCCGAAGAGGCATTCAAAATCAGATCCAAAAGTGGAACCAAACTACAAGCCAATGGGGATTGAGACATTTAGCAGTGATGGTATCAAGCAGGGTAAGCAACCAATCACATTGAGAATATTCTCTGACAGTAAATCAGGAAACACGAAAAAGAAAAAAATCTGTACACTTCTGCACGCCGTTTTCACAGATAGTGAAATAATGCCATGTGTATGCTTCAGTCATCAAGTTAAAATATGTACCAAACTTTAAAAATACTAACTTTAATCATAGATAGTAGGAACTGCAGATGCTGGAGAATCCGAGACAACAAGGTGCAGGGCTGGATGAACACAGCAGGCCAAGCAGCATCATAGGAGCAGAGAGGCTGACGTTTCGGGCCTCGACCCTTCATCAGAAAAGGGGGAGGGGAAGGGGGTTTTGAAATAAATAGGGAGAGAGTGGGAGGCGGATAGAAGAGGGATAGAGGAGAGGATAGGTGGAGAGGAAACAAACAGGTCGAAGAGGCGGGGATGGGGCCAGGAAAGGTGAGTGTAGGTAGGGAGTTAGGAAGGGGATAGGTCAGTCCAGGGAGGACGGACAGGTCAAGGGGGCGGGATGAGGTTGGTCGGTAGGAGATGGAGGTGCGGCTTGAGGTGGGAGGAGGGGATAGGTGGGAGGAAGAACAGGTTAGGGAGGCAGGGACGAGTTGGACTGGTTTTGGGATGCGGTGGGGGGAGGGGAGATTTTGA